AGTTGGGCACAAGCTCGAGATTGTTATTGCGCCAAGAATAAAGATAAATAAACGCCAAGAATAAGATAAACCACAAAAATAAGGCAAACCTGAAAACCGGTTTTTCGTTGCCATCAGGAAGATAAGACCTTCACTTCCTCTTGCGGGTTCCTCCTATCTACGGCACTAAGGGGGTTGAGGTTGAAGGGTGGGGGTGATAAAATGTAAATAAAAACAAGCACGTTAGTAATGCAGGGAGAAAAATTAAACTTCAATTGATTTAAGATTTTTATTGAAGATCAAGTTACTTTTATTTATTCATAAACGCCATACCTCGCTGAAATTTTACTTCGTATGAATTTCTAAAACAATATTTTTTTGCTAAGCTGAGATTAAGAAGTTTATATGTCCACGTCTACTTACGGAAGAGCCGGATTTTCGTTGTTCCCATTTTTATGACTAGAAATCTTTGTTGATTTTTTCTCTCACATAACAAGAATTTTTCTTGTAATTATTAAATTTTGCTAAATTACTCTTCGAGATGTTTATTTTCAGCACTTTATGAAACTTTAGTCGTAAGTTTGAATTTATGTGTATAAAATTGAGTAAAAAAAATTATTTGAAATGTAATAAATTCGTTGCATGATTATTTATTTTCTTTATTATAAATATTTTGTGATTTATTTATTGTTTATCGTATTTTTGTATACTTATTATACATTGTTTATTATGTTCGTGATTTATTTATTAATGATTGTAAAGTTGATGGGGATACAATTATTTTCAAAACGAATGTTAGCGACGAATGTTCAAAACGAATTGGTATGCAGAACCTCAACTTAAAATTTTGAAGTAAGTCAGGTGTTTTCAAATTCGCAGATAACGGAAAATAACACAGAAATACGCGAAAGCTATCATTTTCTAAAATATTTATGTGAGACATATATCCTCACTACAGATTTGATTGTCATTCGGCAAGCTCATAAATTAGTAAGAAGAAACAAAAATTTGTTAACTAAAAAACTAGTATCTATTTCAAGTTATTTTGTCTAGTCATCATTCATTGATGATCTATTATTGCTGTAGTAAAATCACACTAAATATTGGAATCTTTTAATTCCGCAGCTTCCTAACTTAGCAACCTTTTTAATTTTTTGCTACACATTCGTTAATGCTTATGACATCATAATTACCAAATAGAGTACTCTTTTACACTGTTTTACGTACCTTGATACTAAGCACATGCCTGGTCTTAGTATCTAGGAAAAAAAGTAAATTCAGTGCAAATTTAAGTTTAAATACACTTTTTAGTAATATAATCTTTATTAAGGGGTAAAATTTTATGCAGAAATTCCTTAAACGTCAGCTCTTCACTTTGTCTATAAATTCAAACAAAGTCATTAAAAATTGCTTATTTTTTCGAGTTAAGGTTTCAATTTTCATCTCATCTGCATCGAGTTACAGCATTGTCACTTACTTCTTGGCTGGAAAAATGTTGTGAAATCCTTTGCATTATGTTATAATGAGTGTCAATCTTTAAACAAAACTGTACCATTTTGTCATCACAAGAAAATGATTGTCTCATTTTGAAAGCTAATATTTAGATTGACTGGTTCACAGATTAGGGATTGTCCCACCTTGAATGTCACATAATACTACAGTACTTGACCAATAACCTTTAAAAGATAAAACCTCAGCTAAAATCTTATATTTTTAGTTTAAGGATATGATTATGTATAGAAGTGGAATTGACTTTCAGAGTTTTTATATTTCCCATTTTTACTTTATTTGACCCTAATAAGTTAATTAAAGTTTTGTTCTGATACTTCTAATTGTTAAATAATGTTATAACTCACATTTAAGAATATTTATGAAGATTAAGACTAATTAAGAAATTCTATCTACGAGAAATGAGTAATAAGTCTAGAAGCTGAAGTTAAATTCCTATTCAAATAAATTCAAGATTTCAAATAAACTAGATCAGAGTTGGCAAGGTTTAGGACAGAATGGATTAATCCATGGTTTATACCAGGGTTTAAACCTTCCTGTCTGAAACCTTTTTCTCCGGAACTGTCTTAAACACCCTTTTATTCAAACTGTGTCACAATTTTTAAAAAAATATTGTGAAAAATAAAAGGTTAATTTTTGACAAGTAACATAATGAAGAATAATTTTTGTTTTATTAAAAAAGTTTATTATTATTTTTAATATTGCATTATTTTTCCGTATGCAAAAAACATAGGTAATTTATCAGTATTAAAAGCTCATTTATTCATATTTAAAGGATAAGGTATTCACTTTTACTTTTGATATTCAATGAATTGTGGAGCTTGAAAAGTTATAAATTTTTTCCTTTTATATTATTTTCCATTAATAAGTTAAAGCAAATTGTATAAAAAGTATTAAACATTTATTAATCAATGTAATTATTATGTGTACAATGGTTACACATATAGAATTTTTATCTTTTACCAATGTTTAAGGTTTTGGACAGTTTTAGTCAATTTAGAGCAGCTTAAGACAGTAAAACCCACATGTCCTGTCCAAAACCCCAACCCTGAAATAGATTTCACTTATTTGGCAGAAAAAGAAAAACTTTTAATATAAAAGAGTTATTACAAGTTAAAGAGGAAAAGGAATTATTTTGTGAGCCATTAATTAGTTCATTACCATTCTCAATGATTGGACCAGATATAACAAAGCTTTAGCATACTATAAAGGGCAAGATTAGCTGTCACCGCTTGCCATATGGCAACTAAATTAAATGAAGTGACCATCAAAAAAAAAAAAAAAATACCATCATTCACCACTCACTTACAACTGCCTCTTTTTGTCATTTGACAGCCTATCATCACCACTCCTTAGTTCCCGGAAATGTAGCCTTTTAATGTGGATAAAAAAACTTATTTTTATTTGTTAATTAAATGTTTGACAAGTTGTATGGTAATAAATTTCGTACAAGCAATCTTTAAATACGCTAATTTTAGGCTCCATAAAATTCAATCCTAACTTTTTCAATCAATTTAAATAAAACAATTTTATTTCTTCATTATTGTCTGATATATTGTTTAATGACCTTTTCTACCCTTTTTTATGACAGTTTGTTTTAACACCTTTTCAAATGTGCTAACTTTGTTTTTTTGTGGAGGTTGTAAAGTAGAATTAATTACTGACAAAAAGAAACTTCTTAAAGAGTAGGCTAATGTTTGATTTTTCGTCTTTGATGTACCTGTACCAAATGACAGAGTGGGAGGGGAAATGGCAGAAATAATAAATAAACCCATAATGTAATATTTCGTAAAAAAAAAAAGTTTATCAATAAAATTTAAGAAGAAAAAAAAAAGATTGGCAATAAACTAAGAAAAATAAATATTTTTTATTTATTATTAAAATAAATTTTTAAACTAAGAAGAATAAATATTTTTTATGACAGCAAGAAAAATCATTATTAAGACACTTTTAATGTAAAGATTGACCAGTGGGGGAAAAAAATGGCCCCCAGATAAATTTCCCAGTCTTGCCCTTTAGCATACTAAGCTCTGTATGCAAATCTTAATCTGATGTATCAAAATCATTGCATCCTGTGACTATTCTAAGATATATTTCACAACTGTTAAGTTAGAATATCTTTGTTGCAGATTTGATTATAAATGGGTGCAGGATTTCGATTCAATGGCTTCTTTTCAGTTCACTGTTGAACAAATAAGTTTTGCATCTGAAGATCTTCCCATTGACTCCTCATCTCTTGATTCTCTTTCAAGTGTCGTTGACCCGAATGTAGATTTTGCTTTAGATTCTAAGCTTGATGAAAATGAGAATAAAGGAAAAAGTAAAAATTGCTTATATTTCTAACAATTTTTATCTTTTTATTTATTGTTTATCATTTAAAAAAATATTGTTCGGTTATAATATTATAAATTTTAATCAAAATCTCAAATTCAGAATTCATATACAGGTTCATATTCATACATAGCTCTTATTCAATACACGAGACGCTCTTAATTGTTTTGGTTCGAATGTTTATGTTTGATTCCTAAGTAAGGTGGTCTCTAAAGCGAGGAAAGTGGTTCGACCTCTTCTATTAAGTAACAAACTCTGTTTTGTGTATGTTTGAGAAAAGGAAAACCTCCTCTTGGGCTTCAGAATTGGTTTTTATTTGGAGCAAAAAGTTGAGGACTTTTTGTAAGGAATGGTATTGAGCTCGTTTAACAGCTAACGTACCTGTGTCACTAAATGAAAATTTGACTAGTTGTCCATTAAATAATTACCCATGAAATATTCATTTAAAATTGTAGTATGTAGTAAAATATATGATTTAAGTAATTCTTTCAAATTTTTCAGCGAATTAATAAAAATCTCATTATTTAAAAAAATCTAATTTATTTCAGAATAATTTCACCGCGAAGTAAATTAATGGTATAAAACAATGTTTTAACTGTGTTTCTATTTTAGTAGCTTGTTCTTTTTTAATAAAATTGAATGTGTAATTGTTTAACTATAAGTTAATTATTTATGTTATAATATTGAAAAATGTTTGAAAATTTCATTGATTTGTATTGTATGTAATTTAATTTCATTCTTATTATTGAATCCTAGCACTAAATAAAATGCCAAGTTATTTGTCCCCAAGGAAAATTATGCAATTTGTAAATTTCATGAAATAGTTTTTGGTATTTTTTTGCCATTCGATTATAACAAACAACTTTCAGTAAGCAATTTTGTATCAAATTTAGGGGCTTAATTATTTGATTCCTGTGCAGTGTTGATGACTTCTGTAATAAAAGAAGATTAAGAACAATTTTTTTATTTATTTTTAGATTTAACTCATAAGTCAACTGCTGTATCGTTTAACATTCCTAAAGAAAACATAATGGAGAAAAATACCCCTGTATCACCTGTTAATTCTCAAAAAGCTATTGATTCTGTACAAATGATAGATTCTGTTGAGCAATCTAGTTATCCAACAATTCCAATTGCTGTAAGTATAGAAATTATTAGATATTAAGTTATATTTAAAAAAAAAACATTATTTGAATTTGTAGTAAAGTTTATTTTATGAAGCTTTATCATGAGATTAGTCATTGAATAAAAATAAGTATCGTAATAGCAACACTTAAATATAAACTTTTGTATTCTAAATAGTATTACAGTAAGGAACCGATTATCCAGAACGATCGGGACCATCACTATTCCGGATAACTGATTTTTCCGTTTTTCTGAATCGCTACAAAAAGCCGTTTTTTTATCGTTAAACCCTACTAAAAAAATATATATATATTTGGAAATTATCTTAAAAGGAAGAAAAAACGATTAAGTAATACACTAATGATTATTTCTAAACTGATGGTAAGGTAAACATCTTTCAAAAAAGAAAGAAAAATCCTAAAGTCTTATGAAGAAAAAAATAGCTTTTTAAAAAAATCGCGGGAAAATGTATCGAATTTTGTCCCGGTGTTTTGGTTTTCTGATTTCCGGATAACGGGTTTTGTACTGTATTTTGTTAGCCTGTCTCTGGTTTTTGGGCATTATACAGGATGTTTAAAAAGTAACAAAGCTAATTTTTTGGCTGCTATAGATGATCATTGATCCTGTGATCATTCAATAGGATGTGGCAACCTTATATTTTTTTAACATCATGCACGATTATCTTCAATTATCTTTCCTGTGGACCGACAATTATACAGTCACCTTTCCATCTTAGGACTTGTTTACACAAAGACTGTGTCAAGTCTCATGTTTACAAAATTATGATCACTTCTGTTAAAGAAATCCAGATATAGATCCTTGCTGATGTGACCGTTGAACAAAGGCATATTTTGACTTTGACATGCCCTGTTGAACTCCAATAAACTTTAATGGGTCTGTGATTACAATGTGAACTGAAACACACTTCAGTTTTAGTAAAATATGTTAATTTTGACTTAAGTTAAAATTATTGTCCTAAAAATATAAAATCTATTTCTTCTAATAAATAAAAATAATAATAAAAATTATAATAAATAGTCAATCACAATAGGCTGTTTTTGGAAATTTCTCTATGACTGTTGTATAACTTAATGATATTTAGTTGGACACATTTAATTGCTTTGCTTTTTTAATTGTACTAGGTTGCACATGTCATCAACCAAAATAATCCTGAAATCTTTAAGGAAGCTGGGAGATATTTTAGTTCTGGAAATTTTAAAAGACTGTCTGATGCCAATGATTTAGTTTCTCAAAGCATTACTAATTTCTCTCCTCTTCACTCAATGTCTGCAACATCAGAAGCATTGGCCCTTCAGCAAAGTGTTATAGGTAAAAGAAAGAAAAAAATCACTAATGTTGCTAATATGTATTTGAAAACCATGTGCAAGTTTTAGAACTTCACAAATCTGTGTTAAAACTGTTTCTAATAATGTATAGTAAAATAAAAGATTTTCGATTATTCTTTATTAACTAACCTAACATTCTGCTAATCGAATATTCAGCAAAGGAACCATTAGGAGGGATATTCTTTACATTCCTAGTTCTCAATATAATAATTTATTATTATAATTATATTATAATTTATTATTTTAATTATTAAGCTATTTTAAATATTATTTACTTCACATAGATGTCTTAATTAAGAGCATTAGTATTATTAAAATAATAGAAAGCATAAGGTTTTTGCTCATTTATTTTTTTAAAATTTTTTTATTTACATTAGATTCATGCATAAGCGAAATTGAAATTATTTCATTTAATATTAAAACTTGTTTGCTAGGAGCATAAACAGTTTGCTTAAAACAGTAGTTATAAGTTTAAAAAAAATAGTTCTAATATCTTCTCTTTTTCCCTAGGTAATCTGGATGTAAAGCCTGTGTCTGTAGACATTGTTGCTCAAGTTGTTGCCAATACCAGATTGCAACTTGAGAAAAAAGAGCTTACTCACCCCATTAGTGTTGATACTGAAAATGAATCTTCTCCTGTGACTGAACAAAATTTTTCTACTTTAGAAAATATAAATCCTGAAAATACTCCAAAAACAGAACTTATTAGATATCCATCAGATATTATTTCTTCTACAGTAGAGAAACGTTCCTGGTTTTCTAGTAGTTCATCCTTTGAAACACCCAGTGATAATTTACCAAAAATGAACTTAAACCAATCACTTATTAAAAATCACTCACACAGTAGAAGCAGTAGCCAAAGTAGTATTAATAGTATTAGTTTCAAAAAGAGTATGCGAACAAATGTATCAGATTTACCAAGAGTTCATTCTTCAAAAAATTCTAAACTTCAAAAACTCCCACATTTCATTAACCCTGATTCTCCTTATGAACGATATCCCGATAGTTCTAACGATTATGAGACAGAGTCTAGTGTATATGACCTTGAATCTTTATGCTCAGAAGCTTTTGAGACGGAGTCTAATTTCTCTGAAATAAGTGGCGTTGATGACGAAATATTTCAAATACGGAAAGTTTCTCACAACTCTAAAGGAGTTTTCAACGAGTCCGACTTAGAAAGGAACTATTTTATTCCATCTAGTCAGAATGGCATAGTTAAAAAAAATGCCAATACTTCTCCTTTGAAATCATCCATATCTTTAACATGTGATAAAGCTACAGAAACTGATGAGACAAATTTTCAATTGCTGAGAGAAAAGGCTAACTTAGAAGGGCGTTTGGAAAGTGTAACAAAAGAACAACGTGATTTAATTAAAGAACGAGATTATTATCAATCATTGGCAACTTCATATGAAGCCCAAGTAAAATCACTGCAAGGTCAATTAGAAGCAACAACAGTAGAGAAAAAGAATGCTTTAATTCTTTATGATTCCCAAACTAAAGAACACAATAATTGGGATAATATTATTAAGGAGTACCAAAACATAATTGAAACTAAAAATGTTGAGATTAAAGCACTTAAAGATGATCTGTCTGAAAGTGAACAAGCCAACACTCGAACAAGAATTGGCTGTGAAGAACTAAAGGTTGACATGGATTCAAGAGATGCAGCCATTGCTGGGCTGAAGAAAAAAATAGCAGAGCTTCATGTTGAAGTACAGATTCATCTTCAAGGCAAGATACAGCTAGAAAATGAAGTGAAAAATGTCCGTCTGGAAATGGAAACTCTACAAAAATCCAAAGATTGGTTCCAAGAACAACTGCACTCAACTCAAGAAAATCGAAACAAGTTGCATCAGCAACTGATCTTCACTCAAAATGAATTGAGTGGCCTCGGTAGTAAGCTCGAATCAGCATTAAGTGAGAAAAGCCAATTAAAATTAGAATTGAGTCATTTGCAGCAGAGAGCTGTGGCAGAGAAAGAAATTTTAATGAAACGTTTAGAAACTATTGAAGCCGATATGAAGGAGCGTGAATCCTTATTTGATGAAATACAGAAAGATAAGGGTTCTGCAGAGGACTCGCTCATCGAACGAATTCGTAAGATGGAAGAAGAAAAGTCCAATTTGATGGCTCTCTCTTTTACAGTTTCTGATCAGGAATATCAACTGAAATCTTTAACTGGTCAATGTGAGGAAAAATCCAATTATATACAATCGTTAGAAAAAGATAAGGCAGAGTTAAATAAGCAGATAGCAATATTGCAGAAAACATCCTATGATAAAGATATAGAGGTGCAGCAACTCAAACAAAATGTTAAAGACGTAAATATTAAAATAACTCACCTAGAAACAGCTCTCCGTCATTCAGATGAGGTAATTAATACTTTAAAAGACGAAAGAACAGCCACTGATGTAGCTTTAGCCGCTGCTAATGAAGAAAAGCGAATAGTCAATGAGTCGCTGAAGACGGTTAGTGAAAACCTGAATAAATTTCAAAGTAACTTTAAGCATATGAAAACAGAATTGATTTCTCAAACATCTCGAGCAGAACAGTTGTTGAAAGAAAAAACTTTGATGGAGGAAGTCATAAGAAAACACAACGATAATACTCAACTGTTACGGCAAGAATATGAGCAGAAGATATTATGCGAAACTCAAAATCAAGGTGTCTTGCTGGATGATATGTTAAAGAAAAAGAGTGATGTTGAAAGTGTACTTACTGTATATAGTAAAGACTTGCTAAACTACCAACAGCTTGTAGAGAAATTGACCAACGAAAAATCAAATCTAGTTTCCAATATTTCCGAAATGGAACTACTGGTTAAAAATGCTGAAGCTAAAGTCCAAACTTTAAATGAAGAAAATGCTTCATTGAAAAAAGAATTGGTTATTTTTGAAAAGGAGCAGAATGTGTGTCAAGTAAAATATGTAAATAATGGTGTTGAAAATTCTGAATTGCCAACACCTGAAGCGATAAACGTTAAAAAAGCATCGAAAAGTAAATCTTTATTGTATAAAAAGTTGAAAGAAAAGATTAAAGAGTGTAAGGTGCTTAAAGATGAATTAGAAGAACTGCGTAGTACTTTAGCTGAAAGTGTGCCCTGTGATAATTGTGCAAGCATAGATCTGAATCAAGATAAAATTGCTAGTAGTGAGAGAAGAATTGTGGAATTAGAGCATCAACTAAATCAACAGTCTGAACTTCTTGAAGAAAAAATAGCTCTATTAAAAAAAAGTGAAGACACTATTATTGAACTTGAGAAAGAAAAGGGAAAAGCTATAGGTGAGTTTGAACAATAACAATAATCCTAGAATTATAGTAATTCTATTTTTTATTGAACAAGTAGATAATAAAGCTAGAATTAACTTGGAATATAAAGAGCAAGAATCCTGAGGCTTTTTTAAATTTATAAATAGAAAAATTAGAAAGCTATTATTTTTTTTAAAAAATATTTTGGTAATCTAAATACAGCTGGACTTTGTTAAAGTGAGTGCAATTAACAGGAACTAAATTTTGATGCCTGGTCAAATTGTATTCAAAGATAATGCTAAGTACTTATTACATGAACCTGGCTTAAATGAGATATCGTTTAATGCTAACCCAATTTCATTTTCCTCAGAAAAAATTATTTCTTTACGCAAAAATTATGTACATTTTATTATGTATATATTTTGATAGGTAATGTAACTGATGGTTCAAAGTTTTGTATTGATAAGAATTAGAATTTTTGAAAGATATTTCTAATTCTTTGTTATCATGTTGATTATTTCACAATTATAGCTGAAAATAAAGAAATTAATTTAATCTGTTCGGGGTTATAACCAAGCCAACTTTTCATTTATTTATTTATTTTTTAATTTGATTTTTAACTTTTTGAACCTCTTAGTATTTCTAATATAATTTGAAACTTATCTTTTGCCCCAGAGCTCATTTTCATTGGAATGTAACAAAATAAGTTTTCCTGAAAATTCTTACACTTTGTTTTTAATAGAGGTTTGTATAATAATCATTTTCACCAGTTAATTCTGAAAATGTTTCATTCAATTCATTAAACAGATATTGAGCTGTAATGTCAGCATGTTTTTACTAGAAGAGGATAATGGCAGCTTTTTTGCTTTGTGCCTCAAAATGAAAATTCAGTTCAAATTTTTGGATAATGTTTATAAACTAGATGACTTTTGTAAAATAGGCAAATAAAGAACAGAAACATGAAAAGATTACTGATTATTTTATTGCTTGTCCCTTCCAATCTTTAAAAAGAAAGGATTATAATTATGTTAATTATATATTTTTTCATCCATTTTTTTAAAAGTTTTTATTTCTACAACATTAAAACTTAAGAACTTATAGTTGTACAGTTTTTGAGCTTCATCTTGAGACTAATACAAAATTATGTATTTTTATTATTTCTTTGAGTTATAAGTTAATAACATTTATAACATCTAAAGTAGTTATTTCATTTCATTGAAATTATTAATGATTGTGTGAAAAATAAACTTTTTTTACAGGCATAAAATGAAATCTATCCTAATTATAGTTATATTTTTGTTGTTTGGAAGGAAAAAAAAACTTTAATCTAAACAAATTTTTCTGTTTTGTTTCAAATTTACATTAATGATGTTAGACTGCATTTTTTCTTCTTTTAGATGTTGTATGTATTTCTTTTGGATATATTTGCGGAATGTAAGTTTATTTGCATGTAAATGTGTAAATCCGCTTTCCTTCTACTGCACAACTGCCAACTTCTACTGTATAACTGCCAGCACTTCTGTAAAAATTGGGACACCTTCAAATTTCAGAAAAATCCCAAAAATATTCAAATCTCCGAAATTTTTAAAAAGCATCTGAAAATTAAAATTTTTTACAGTTTAAATTTTTTTCATCTTTCATTTGCATGCATGCTTTCTTTGAAGGTGGCAGAAAAACATAAAGCTTGAAGGGTTCATCTATTATTAAAATGTCTATTTACAAGAAGACTAAAGTAAGAAAGATAATAAAACTAATGTCTAGTGAGCAGCATAATTTGCTTGCATCATGGCTTCCGATTCACCCTTTACAGATTCTATAAATGGAAGTAAAATGAGATCTAAAATATATCCCATTGCAGTCGCTTATTTTATTGAAAAAAATTCTCGAATCAAATATGGTTCTTTTATGATTAAAAAATTATTTTTATTGTACTTCTTGATATTATTTTTAATGTTTGGGTTAGAAATCAAAACTATATAATAACATTGTTTTTGTCCTAAAAACAGGTTTTGTAGATAAGTATGAAATTCTTAAGCAACACATGACTGAAGTGGAACAAAAGCTATCGGAAAAAGAGTCCTCAGTTGTGCAGCTAACTTGTTCAGTTGAAGATCTAAGGAGACAATTGTCGGAAATGGAAGAAAATACTAAAAATCAAATCTTTACACTTGAATCTGATTTAAAAAAAGAAAAAGCTTGGGTCAAGGATTTAAGGAATCAAGTAATTTCATTTTTAAAATTATTGTTGCATTAATGTTTGATTTTCTCCTGTTGCACCAAATATAAATTATTTTGTAAGGTTGTCACTGTTTAAGGCTTGAGTAGGTTTAACTTATTAAACTTGTTTTTCTTCTGTACAGGTAACTAAAGAAGAAAGAGCAAATTCTCATCTGCAGCGAGATGTATTAACTCTAAAATCTGGTTTGGAACAAGCCAATCAACATGCAGATGCCAAAAAATTAGATATATCAACATTGCAGGCTGAGTTATCTTTGAAAGTTCAAGCTGAGTTAAAGCATAGAGCAGAGTTAGAACACCTGCAAACAGAAATTCATTTACAACATTCAATAGTAGACAAGTTGAAAAAAGAATTAGAAGAAGTCAAAGCACGGGATCCTGCTCTTGCTGAACAATTGAAGGTTATACATAAAAATTTTCCTTTCAGACTTTCTATTTTCTGAAACTTTTATCTTTACTTATTATACAAATTTATACTTTATTTATTTTTTTTATAACTATTATTGTTTATGTTAGTAACTCTTCTTTCTATATTGAGTAGACCTAGCAGTAGCAGGCCAAATATGAGTTCTCTTAAGTGACACGGTCTGTATTATTTCACAGAAAAATATGGTTTATTTTTTACTTAGCTCAAATCCAAGCATGATGCCATGTAGAGCATAAACTAATTCTGCGACAAAGTTGCCAGATACATTAAAACAAAAATAATCACGGTTTCAATCAAGTACATAAATAATAAATGTAGGTTGTATAAAAGACATGTAAGGAAGTACATTTTAACAAATTTGATATGTGATACAGCATTGTGTTTAGTTAACTTCATATTAATTAACATTCTAACTTATGGGAGAAACTTGTCCAGAATATTTACACACCGTCTTGTTTGTAAACAAGCAGCTGGTGCTGAAGTCGTAGGTCAGTTTGTTGTGCATAAGTGGTCTTATTGAGTATTTCATAATTCATTCTTTTTTCAACACACCATGAACATTGTCAATATATCCTACATCATAAATGTCAGTTTTGAAAGTGAAGATTTTACATATTAGCAAAGCAGTTGATTAAATATATGTTCAATTATTCATCATCAGCATTGGCATGACAGCCCTTTGTGAGCCTGGGCCTTCCTCAGAAGCTTTTCCCATTCTGCCCTTCTCCCAGCAATTGTTTTCCAGTTCTTTACTTTTAGGATGGCAAAATCCTCATCTACACAGTCCTTCCATCTCTTTTTGGGCCTTCCTCTTGGCCTTTTATTGGAGGGGGTTGCATTAGAGACTCTCAATGCTGTTCGTTCTGGGCTCATTCTCACTACATGCCCGGCCCATCTCATTCTACTTAATTTAATAGATTTAATGATATCATCGCCATCAAAGATCCTATATATTTCAAAATTATATCTTTTCCTCCAGTTGTCTTTATCGAGTATAGGGCCAAAGATGGTTCGTAGGACCTTCCTTTCGAAGGTTGCTAATAACTTTTCTTCCCTTTTTGTTAAAGTCCATGTCTCTGAAGCATAAGTCAAAACTGACTTGATTAATACCTTATAAAGTAAGATCTTAGTCTTTCTTTTTATTAAGTGAGATTTCAATAATGATCTTAAACCATAGAAGCAGCGATTGGCTGCGATTATTCTTTTTCTAATTTCAGGATTGATGTCATTTTGATAGTTTATTTCTGATCCTAGATAAGTAAAATTTTTTACAGATTCAAATTTAAAAGAATCTATTTTAAACAATTTAGGGATGGTTTCCTTTGTGCCACAATACATATATATTTTGTTTTCTCTACATTCACTCTTAAGTTAATTTTTCTAGCTGATTTTTCCAGTGCCAAAAAATTTTCACTCAGTGCTGTCCTAGATCTTGCGATGATATATGTTCAATTATTACTTGCAGTTTATATAAATGCTATTAATTTTAAAATTAAAAGGCATTTTAATAAGTTTCTTATTTTGCTCACTAATTTGTACTAAAAATTTGTTCAAGTTTGCTAAAAATTAAATTTTGCATTTAACAATGGTATATAATCATTTTGAACTCTTATATATTGTCATAAATCTCTTGAAAAAGCATTAGGCTTTTACAGTCAAGCAACAAAAGAGTATTCAAACATTTCCCCATGTATAAACACATTAGTGAATGATATAAATAGAAAGAAGGGAAAATAGCCAGTATAGTGTTGCTACAACTCTCTTTTCTTTTTATGGGTATCAGTCAGCCTATTTCTGAAATACATGTGATGACAATTTGAGTGAAGTATAGTGGGATAATTGACAAATTTAGTACTAATGCATTTAACAACTATGGCCTATCCCAAATCATCACCAACACTTACAAATACAGTAAGATAAAAATATATGTCTAGAAATCATGATCACAAGGGGGGAAATTTAATTAAGAAATTTTAATGATGATTAACTCAATCATCAAGATTTACTCTTTAAAATAAATTCGACCATGTGGCATAATAAAATAAGGCAATAACAAATTATACAAAACTAAATCAACATGTGACAAAGAAATTTAAAGCCTACGCTTAAAGAAAAGGAATTGCACTGCTAGAGTCAATTGAATTTAAGTCACTTATCTTGCACATGTGCTTGACTTGGCTTGAAATCATCAGGAACTGAGATATCATTTGTTATTATCTGGATCTATATATCAATTTTTCAGTCCAGTTGCAGCAATAGTTTCAGGGTTGATGTATATTTTGGTTCAGAAATTGTCAAAACATCTATTTTAATCAGATTCAACTCAGCTGTCTTCAGGTCTTAGCCTTCTCTTCCTCACCTCTGTCCTGCCCTTCTTCTCCGGTTCCCTCTCCTTACCCAAAAATTGGCAGACCAAAATGCTTATTTTATTCACAGAGAGGCTATCTCAGACAGTTTAGGCAGTTAGGCAGTTGACTGATACCCATAAAAAGGAAAGAGAGTTGTAGCAACACTACACCAGTATTAGTCAGAAATGATTTGTGGTCAAAAACTGAAGAATTAAACCTAATTTGTTTTCTCCTAATTTTACCTCTCTCTCAATTCTCTATTCTTCATCATAGTTGTTAACTCTCCTAAATTTTTCAGTAGACCACAAGAGTTTGCCTGGCTTTTTTTTACCTCCCATTTTAATCAAAAAATTTGTTTTGCATTTCTGTAAATTCAAATTTCTCTATTAATATTTGTGGGCTTCATACTATTGTTCAGTGCTGGTAGTTTGCACTATAGTGTGGGATTCATTCTCCCTAATGATAAAAACAAATTTACATATTTCTTATTTTAGTTAATGGACTGGCATCATTGATTAAACCTTCAACTGCTTTCTTTCAGTATCTGTGTATCTTTAATAAATCTGGCCTCTATGAATGCAAAATATTTGTATTATATGTATATATTAAATTTTAAATATATACATATAGAGAGAGATTAACATTGAAATAATCTACCTCACTAGGCTCTTAGTTGGAGAGTAAAAGAAAAAACAAATGAAGCTGAAGCTTTACGTGAGAAACTCAAATTGATAGAAGAGAGATATCAATCAGAAGTTTCAACTTTAAAGAAAAATATGCAAGTAAGTATGAAAAAAAAAATTTTTTGAGTAATATTTAGATCTAGACTAAATTGGAAAAACCTTAAATTTTATTTTCTGCTACATGTTGTTAGATTATTTTAAAAACAAAATCTGGGTTCTCTAAAGTTACCTCAGTCTTCCTTGCCCCTAAAGTCAACTCCTATTTTTAGGTTGTTTATTTGGAGAAAAAAAATCTTCTAATCTTTCATTTTTAATTAAATCTAAATCAAATTCCCTACTTTTATTTCAGAGATATAAATAATTATTTGCATTACCAAGACCTGAATTTTCCAAAAAATTTTGTCTATAGCAATTTTTAATAATATTTTCAGGTGTGTTCTTTGGAAATTTAGTATGTTTTACTTATTTTTGTGCAATATTAAAATTCTTTGAAACCAAACTTAAATGTTTAGATTTTTGCAAAGTTATTCAAGATCTGATTAATTTTGTTATTGTCTAATTTAACTAACTTTTGTCAACAAAAATTAGAATCATGTATGTTTGAATTAAAAATTTTTTAGAATGAATTATTTGTTTGTTAAATGGGCTAATTTTCAAATCTATTATTGAAATTGCATGTAGCAATGGGGACTATGAAATAATATGTATTTCAAGTTAATTCTGTATGATTCACTCCCTTTAGTAGTAATTTATGGGAATTTATGAGGTAATTCATAAATTCACATTCTTGTATTGACAAATAAGTTTTTTTTTCCTCCTGTGCTTTTATCTGACACTTAAAACATGCGATGTTTTTTGGTATCTTTATATTTAGATACAAAACTAATAGATTTACTTTTTAAAAGAATGCTTGCCCTTTCAATCTTTGTTTTTCGAAAAAAATGAAAAACTACTAATATTTTGCTGAACATTAAAATAATAATTATTTTTTAATGTAAGTAAACATTTACTTTTTTGACAAACTTTTGTAGAGAAGATAAAAATTTGTAATCACATATAATTCATTATTGTTTTTGAAAAGCAATTTTTACAATAAATTGTATGTTAAATAACCTAATTTTCAGATCTATTGCTGTGAAGTCTGGGGAATTATATATATTTATGTAAAGTGATGCATTATGGTGAAAAAAATTAATGCTACTTTTTACATTGATTCAACTATGTAAAAAACTTAAGATAAAAATTTTGTTTCATATTTAGGATAGATAAAAGACAAACTAAAGTACAGTATTATAGATACAGTATAGACTTTACAGACAGACAATAACATCTGTTCCGTTTAAGAAGCTTATCTGTTCAGTATTGTTAAGGAAAATCACTTATATTACATGAGTTACATTCAAATGCTGCAACAAAAAAAAGTCTCAACGGTACTTGAATATTGTATTACATTATTTATATTCAAATGTTTCAAAAAAATTTAAATGGCACTTGAATATTGTAACAATCAACCCTTTTTTAAGATTTACATATTTTCTTTATAGGAAACGGAAGTTATGCTTAATAATATTAAAAAGGAGCTTAATGAAACGAGAAAAGAAAAGTTTAGTTACCAGTCAAGAGTTATTGAGCTTAGAAAAGCTTTAAAATCAAAGCTAGTAGAATTAGAAGTAAGTTAATTTTTTACTTGAAATTGTTTTATGTGTTTACTTATTTCTTCTTATGGTCTTCTAAAATAGACAGATAGTTTCCTAAATACTATTCAAGGAAAATTGTAATAAATTCATTCCACTGGAATATAACTATTCAAAATAAGGAGCTTTTTAGTTTACTTTTTAGAGTAGTGCAATTTGTAATTGGCACTATACATCCAATTTTTGAATTATTGAATCAAATGTGATGTTCTCAAAATGTTTTTCATTAGCTACAACTACATAGCTCAAAAGAGTTGCAAAATTAGCGGGGACATTCTCAAAAGTCTTAATTGGTTTCACTAATAATAATTTGCACCAGGTATGCTATCATGTTGGGATTTGTTTAGTACACTGATCTTTCAAGAGGTTTAGAAAGAATTTTACCTTTTGGGCTGAGATTTATCTAATATGTTGTCTGCGCCATTTATTGGTGAAATTTTATGCTACAAACAAAATTATGTACTATAAACTCAAACAAATTCTTGGCATTAAACATTTATGATCTGTTAAGATGACTTTATTCTGTCACCATTTTCTTGTTTTCCCATTTGAAAACTTAATATGTATTTTTAATTTCGCAAAAAAAGAAATTTTTAAAAATATAAACATTATAATTTTAATTACCATTAATATTTTAACTTTGGTTTTCTTAATAATTTTATATAGGTTTATTTAGGTTTAATCAAGAATAATGCTCAGTCTTTTAAACTTATACATTACTTTTACCGCTCTTTTCCTACGCAAAGTATTCTGTAAAATAATTCTGATTTGTTTTTGTTCTTATGCTTATACTAAATGTGAAAACCATTAAACATCGGAAAGTAGTTTTAATTTTCAGCAGTTTTGAACAATTTTAATTACAAGAAACTGTTTTACTTTTTTTTTTTTCAAATATTGAATTTTTATTTTTTTCATTTAGTCTAAAGGTATATTGAAAGTGGAGAACAAATCTTCTAGTAGTGGACCAATTATACATTTAAATATCCCTGATCCAGAATCAACTTTTGATGAACAATATGTTAATGATCTTTTACAGAAAAGCATGAAATTAACTGAGAGCAGGTAAATAAAGAACATTCCTGATTTTTACAATTCAAGTTGAATATCATTTATATCTTCATTTTGATCAAATATAATTAAAAGACAGACTTAATCTGAAATTTATTTAAAAGTAGCATTTTTACTATTGTATTTAATTATTGAATATAGCTATGTAATTAGAAGTGTTAATTTGCCCAATTGTTTTATTATTATTTCTTTCAACTTTTTTGTGCAAAAAAATTGCATAAAAGTAAAAAAAAAAAATTTTGAAATATTAATATGACTATTCATAGTAGTCATACTAATATGACTACTATGAATATAAATAAATTTTGCTTTTGCAAACTTTGGATTTTTATCTTTGGAACATTGCCAACAGATCTGAGGCTTAATATAAATTGCTTTTGATTTTTCAAAAAAAAAAAAAAAGGAAAAAAAAAGCAATTTTTGGTATGGTAAACTCTAAAAATTTCTAAAAGAAATAAATCCAGTATCCTAAAATATACTATAAAGAGGAGCAAAAATTCCAGTCTGAACTAAGGCATATATGGTTAGCGAAAAATACAAATAATTGGAGAAAACATATTTTTTATCTAGCTTCCTTTTACAGACTTAGGACTGGCATATAGTTATGCATATTTAGCGTATTACAAATGGCTCGTTTAGAAGTTACTTTTTTTAAAAACATTAACAGTATAATAATAAATTTAATGCAATTTATACCAATATATTATTTATTTTTATTCTCATTCAATTCTGGTTCATTTTAATTTGTGTTATCTACCTCAGTCATCTTCTTTATTTGTAAAACTGTACAGTTGTTCTTCTTTTTAATCTTAAAATTTTTTATAGGCCTCTCAGTAACCTTCAAGATTGTCTGAACTCCCTAAAAGAAGAGATGATGAATTTGCAACAAAAGATCATTGATAGTGTTGATAATGATTAATATTTTTTTCAATAATTTCAATAAACATAACCTTTATTCCATATTGTTTACATATTTTTTATTGTACACTGTTTTGCACATTGAGTTATTATTCCTGATAAGTTTTCATCTCCCTATATTTTCATATATGTTTTCATGTAATATAATGTCTTTTAAAAAAAAAAAAACACAGGTCAAAGGAAAGTTAGTTTATAAAAGTTTTTAATGTATTTGTTTTGATTTTAAGGTATTGAAATTCGATCTAAGCACACTTTATTTATTTTTTCCTTAAAGTGATAAAATCAAATTTTGGTTTAATTTGATAAACGGTTAGCATAATGTAGCCCATGTTATCATCGAAACAATTAATAATTAAAGTGTAAAGATTTGAAAGTTATAATTGATCCACTCTAACTCTGTGATAACTTTTTGCTGATTAAGGCTGATGATAATATATTAAATTTTTTAAGGACTTCATTGAAATTTAAAATATTCACTGTGTGGTATTAAAGCTACCATGTTTAGACCAATATAGAAATAATTTTGGGTGACAACTGCAATGAAACTTGGTATGGAAGTTACAAAAAAATTAGTTCACAATTTGGCCATCAGGTGAAGAAACGGTATGCATATGAAATGAAAAGCACAAATTTGAGACATGCAACTTCAATTATATTTTTGTTGCACACACTTCCAAAATATGCAAGCGCAAGTTCATCAGTAGCACAAAAAGTTTCTTAGTCTATTGAGCAACATGACTTGTTTCACTTGCTCTCAATGTCGTTTTATTTGCGAGAGGCTTCTCTCTGCTTTTTTGCGGCATACTGCAAATTCTCCAGTCTCTTTGAATTTGGTAATTTTTTTTCTTCTCATTTCTCTCTGCTGTACTTGCACAGTGCAGAATGGTTTTACAGCTGTGACTACTGGCTTTTCAAACCACTCCAAGTTGTATTATTGTTCTTTTTCATAACTTAAAAGTTCCACCCACCAATCAAAATATTAACTAATTTTTTGTAGTGCGGAAATCTTTTCCCATGGTCTATATAAGATTCACACATACCAACGTTCATTGACTTTCTACCCCAAGAAAGGACACTACCCTGGTCTAAACAAGATATTTTGAATTATACCCACCCTGTAGCATGTTGCAAATCGTAAGCAACTTACTTTTTATTAACTAGTGTTTTGTACTGGATATAATTCTAATTGAAGTTAATTGTGCTCGATAAAGAAAATTTTTTTGATTTCTGGGTTTTATTTTATCACTTATGTTATCTAATTTAAATCTATACTCTGCATAAACTTAAATGTTTTTTTTTTTAATTTTTTTTTTTTTTTTTTTNTTTTTCTATTTTTTTTTTTTTTTTTTTTAGAAAATTAAATTTGGCTCTTTATTGACATTAGATGTGTCCATCTAGTGTTATAATTTAGTATTCCTCAAAAGTTATAGTCTTATTATATCAAACTAATATTTTCTGAAAAATTAATGTTACTAAATTGTATCTGTTTCAACTAAATATTGAGTTACAGCACTTAAAATTGAACCATGTATCTCAAAGGATTCTTACTTTTTTTTATCCCTAAAAAGTATTCCCAAATTATTGGTAAAATTAAAAAAAATTTATATTTCCTACAATACTATTAATTTTGAGGAAAAAAAATTATAAAATTATTGGTGATGCTTTCTTGTAATAAAATTTTGATAATCTTACACTGAAAGTAGATTGCTCTTAATAACTAATGAATGCTTCATTGCCAAAGTAATTTCAAATGCAACTAAAATGACCTGGAAATGTGAAATTAACTATTTTTAGAAAGATAAGCTAAGATGCTATGAATTTTCTGATGGAAAAACAAATATTGTTTACTAAAGATAAGTTAGTTCTCACTTTTAAACATCATCCAATCTTACCTAATTTTTTTATTTACTTATTTATTTTTCAGTTCAGTTTAGCTAAAAATAATTTAATTAGGTGTAAGACCTGTATGCTAAGTAAAATGAATTATCTTTGATAATTTAGTTCTTAAAAGAAAATATTTAGATGTTATGATTTATGCATAGCAACTGAATTTTCCCATTGAAAAATTGGAAATGGTTTGACTTAAAAATATTTGCCCTAAACCTTAGTCCAGTCAAAAACTGTGCTACTATTCAGGGCAAGCTGAGCCCGTATCACTTCTATTTTTTACCAGAACCTGTAGAGTCTGGTTTACAATGATTTGCATGACACAGGATACTGTTAAATAAATATAGGTGTTTCTCTGCCAATAATATATAATTAAAAATTATTCATTTTTTATAAAATATCTTTTGATTCATAAATTCCAAAATAAAATTTAATTAACTGGGTTTAAAATTTAGTTTTTAAAAAAATAATACAAATGAACTTAATGTATTATTTGTAATGATTTCTTCCCAGAATTCAGTTTATATTCACTACAGAATCTTCTTTTAATAGATCTTAATATATTATGTAAGATATAGATATCTAGCTCTATCCATTTAATAGTTTTGCACAGTATAATTATTTTTTGACCGATGTATTTGCTAAAATTTATGTAATTAACTGTTTTTGATGATATGCAATTTAAAGTAAAATACCTTTAATTCTTATCCTATTTTAAAAAAATGGAAATTTATAATTTTAAATTAGCTTTTCCTGAGTACAATATTAATATTTCCCTATTATTACATGAAAATTTTATTGGAATATGTCAAACTCAGAATATGAAGTCTTAGTTGAACTTTTCAGTTACTATTCTACAGTTCTGATTTGCAGTCTCACATTGGTTAAATTGATTTTAGGCAATATAAATCATAATGAAAGTTATTATATTCACTTATTTATTTTATTTATAAACTACTGTAATCAAGTCGAACTTGTGTTTATTTTCTTTACTTTTTTAAGTAAGCTTGTTTCCTGTGATTTTTTTTTTTTTTTTTGCTTCAGTGATCTTTTCAACATATATAGAGAAATATTTATTACATTATTTTAGTATCTATAAATATTTGTTTTATTATATTCATGATTATAGAAATTTATATGATACTTTTTAGTGCCTATTTAAGAATGAAATGTTATCAAATTTCGATGTGATATAAATTTCGTAACTCAATCCTAAAACTGTATTATATATAACTCTTTTAGCATGAAAAATATTAGTTTTTTATATTTATAGTGTGTTGCACACTGTGTTGCAAATAGGATATCTTGCAACTTCAATACATTGTGCAATAGAAGTTATTGAAATATTTTATATGCAATTGTTTTTTTGTTTTTTTATCATTCCGTACTGAGTTATGGGGTAACTCTATGTTTTTAACTATAGTAACTAGTCAAAAGATCTTTTTTTATACATTAATTGACCCTTTACTGTTTTATGAAAGACAATAAAAGTACTGTTGAAATATTAAAAAATTATCTCTAAAATTTCAATTTAAGAATATGTCCCTAGTGAATACTAAGAATTGTTTATTCTTAGAATTGTTGTGATTAGAGAATTGTTTTAAAATAAAAAAATAAATATTTTAATTAGGACCTTTCCTAGTGGAAAAAAATATTTTAAAAAGTTTTTCTAATTTAATTTTGAGTTTTTATATCAGCTTTTAGTAACTTTATTTATTTATAACAAAATATTGATAGTATTATATGATATGTTGTATAGCAATCATTCTTAAATAAAATAATAAAGTAAAATTACCTTTCTTAAATCATACTTAATAGTTTTAGTACCATAATAAGACCTATCCAAATTCACTATTGTTATACACCGAAGAGCCATTACATTCTGACCACGCTCCATCTATAACAATGGTCTTGCCCAGGTTTTCATGTTTTCTCACCCAGGAACAATGTTTTCATGGGGCACATTAGGACCCATAATCCTCATAGAACAATCCCTGACGTCTGTAAGCTACTTGAGCATAGTTGCAGACCAGGTTCACCCATTCATGGCAAAAGTTTTTCCTGTGGGGGATGGTGCTTAACAACAGGATAATGCACCATGTCATTAGGGTCGAATAGTCATGGTTAAGTTCGAGGAACATTCCAGTGACTTTCAAGTCATGTCTTGGCCCCCAAATTCACCTGACATTAATCTAACAGAGCATTTGTGGTCCTACTTGGAAAACCAAATTCGTGCTGCCACTTCACGATGTGAGGGAATTGCAGGACCAGTTGGTGAGCGCTTGGTACCAGATACCTCAGACTACCTATCAGCACCTTGTGGAATCAATGCCACGGCGGGTGCTAGCAGTTTTGAGGGCTGAAGGTGGTCCTACATGTTATTAGTAGGGTGGTCATAATTTAATGGCTCTTCCGTGTATGTATTATGATCACATTTTTGTTTTAAAATTTTACTATATTTTTCTTTATTTTGGTTATGATAAGTAGTCTTAGAAAAAAAGTCTTACAAATTAAATTAGCATAAAAGTAAAATAATTGTTCTGGAAGAAATCTTCAGTATGGGTGCTATTTAGTATTTTTCATCCAAAAAAAGTTATCCAAAAATAATTTTGAATTATATTCCTTTAATTTTCCAAAAAAAATTTATAAAACTAAAGCGCAGTTCAAAGCTATTTTTAGTGTATGGTGACGTAATGTTTAAAAAGAGAAAATAGCTAAATAATAGAAACAACAATTTATTTATCACTAAAAATAAAAAATATTTTTTCAACAATCAAATAATGAGAAACTACTATTGTTTACAACATCCAAAATTGCAGACATGCTTTTCAAAGATTCAATCTCTTTTTTGTTTTTTTTAAATTTTTTTTTTATTATTTGTTATTGGAATTTTTGCAGAATAAACTGAAACAGTGAAGGGTTATTTACACGAGAGTTAATTTAGTTGTATTGATTTAATATCTTAAAATATTGAATATTATAGTATGTCTTCCATGATTTTATTTGTTCTATTTGTTTCCACCCAAAAAGCTTATCACTTGTTGGCATTTCACGTATTTCGATGTTTGTTGTTTTTATGTGCTTTGTTTGAAAAAAAAATGGTGCTGCATGTTTTGGAAATTTTTTAGATGTATTGCTCAAAGCTCTATCATCAA